CTAAAAGCTGTTTTGCTGTTTTCAGCGTAAGGAGATGCTGATGGCAAAAAGAAGGAAAGTTCTTACCTTCCATTCATGGCTCAATCTGGCTATAGGAGAAGATGTGTTTTTAGGTCATTCAAGCTTGTTTGAATCTGTAATTCCGCTAAGCAAATTGTGAAGCCTGGAATGAGTTCACGAACCCACGGGAAAATGGGCTAGACAAAACGGCAGAGGAGAAAGTGCACAAATTTCAAGGCTTCCCAGAGGCTTCCCGGAGGCTTCCCGGCCTTTCATATACTGTATGGCCACGGCAAAGGAAATGGCAATGTGTAATGATATAAATTGCGCTTGAGCCTGAACTCAAGTCTATTTGCAAAATGCAACGTTCGAAATTTTGCTGACATGAGTAATCTATTAGCCATCCCATAACTGAAATATTTCTTTATTATTTTTATTCCATTTCGGGGGTTGGTCTGTTGAGGGGGTCCGTAGGGGTAGTCTGTGGACTGGTCCATAGGCAGTCTGTGGAACTGGTCCTTAGAGGGGGTCCGCAGACTGGGACCAGGGGTCAGTGTTTTCGGGGTACCCATGATTTCGAGCATACTCCCTGCCTACCAGGGGACCAAACTAGAAGAAATATCATGTGAAAGCCCCTGCATTACCCATCCCAGGTCTGGTCGTGGGGGGGAGGGAGGAGAGATTTACTTAATTGCATTCGCAGTCATACGAATACCACTAATTTATTATAATAAATGAGCTTAATTAATTCTAATAACTTATAAAGTACACATTGAAGCTTTTCCTGTGGATGTTTTGCTTGCTTTTAGCTCGGAAATATAAGGAAAACCTAATAAATTTTGATTCACCAAATTGTCATAACGGCAGAAAAAAGTTAAACTTACGACATAAGCTTACGTGTGGGTTACGGGCCAGGACTGTGTACGTGTGTAGATACTTAGTACTCACCAAATCAAAAGGATTTACAACAGCTTTCTGTTTCTTTTTCGACTTAACTGATGCAAAATTCAATTCATCTTCGTCCTCATCGTCACCGCGTGAGATTTCCAATTCTTTATCACCCTGTAACTTCCTCAAAACACGAGACGACATTCTTTCCTTCAGTTCCTTACAATTTTTGTGTTTGGCTTTGTGGCCACGCTGAGGACTTGGTAGCCACGCATGTAAGCCTTTCCGCGGGACGATCTCGCGCGTGCTTCTATCGGGAACGAAAGGGACATCAGGGAATATGTTGGCTAAGAAATTCGGCTTTGTTCCCTTCACACTTGGGTCGATTTTGATCCAGGTGTGTTGGGGGGTGAAAATCAACAGCTCTAGGTTCAAGCAGTTTTCTCATATTAAGACGAAAACCCCCCAAGCAGCGCAAGAACAGGCCGTGAAAGATCTCATCACACGACTCATTCCGAAACACGCCTCCAAGTTCCTCATAAGAGTGAACTCAAGCCTCGGACCCCATTCAGATCTAGACACTTTTGAATACGTTACAGACACTACAGAAGGAAAGCTTGTTATAACTGGCACAACTGGGGTGGCTGCAGCACTGGGGTTTCAGCACTTTCTCAAGTACAGTTGTCACGCTCATGTTTCATGGAGTGGAGATCAGCTCAAGATTCCAGAACCATTCCCTGTTGTGCAAAAAACAGTCATGGTAACCAGTCCAAACAGGTATTTCTAAATTGCTCCACAATCTCTTCTTTATGGGCGGGGGAGGGGGAGGAGGGAACTGTACAGGGGAAAAAACCTGGAAGAAAATGGGAAAAATTGTGCAACTTTGTAACACTTGACAAGAGAAAAGGCACCAAAGTGGATTGAATCATTAGAAGGTAGAGGTGGAAATTGGGAGTGAAATGTACAGGAAACATGATGTTCCTTGGAACACACTTCTCTCCACCCCTGCATGTCTTGTGAGATCAGAGCTCCTATTATGCCCTACATGCAGACGTGCAGTTGTCTTCCCAGAAACTGGACTCCACTGTTAGCGGCATATAGTGGTGCAGTGGCCTCATGGTTAGTGCGCTTGCCTCTGGATTGAGTGGTCTGGGCTTAAGCACTGGCTGGGGACATTGTGATCCATTGTGGTTTGTTCTTTACGCTCACAGTGCCTCTCTCCATCCAGGTGTATTAATGGGTACTGGCAAATTTAATGCTGGAGGTAACCTTGTGATGGTCTAGCATCCCATCCAGTCAGAAGTAGAAATACTCCTAGTTACTTCATGACACAGAAACTGGAGATAAGCACCAGGCCACTAAGCTTGTATGTAGAGTTAACCTTTTTTCACCTTAGCAGCTCATTATGGCTAAACTTTATCAGTATTTCGGCCAGCTATTATCCCCATAACATGGCATCAATAACAGCCACACACGGAAACTACATTAATTTTGGAAACTCCAGGAAGGGTACCATGCAATCTAAATAATTGTGTGGCCTACAAATGCTGACTGTAAAGCTCATGACATCTCTGACTTAAAGTATTAATCCAGAATTAATGGAAAAACTTATGCCCAGAGCTAACCTCTTATATACAGTCCACATTGAAATGGAATTCAATATGAACATTTTTACTCAGAAATATTGTGGAATACATATTCATTGTACCTTAATGTAATAGGTAGAAGCAAACTGCTTGCTCATTATTGTTTGAACTCAATGTGAGTGATGTTTTTTTTTAAAGTAGCAGGTTTATCAGTATTTTCTAAGAGAAACAAGTTGACAGAATTTTCTACCAAGTATGTGTGCAGTTTCCTTGTGGATGAAAATTCTAAAAGCAAAGAAGAACCAACTTGTTTTGTTAGGTACCACCTCATTCCCAACCCAGTCACCCTCTTGTCGATCCACAGAGCTTCTATGTAATTTTGACCACTAAGTATTCATGAAAAGTAAACACATCAAGTTATATTAATAACCGTCATTAGTTTGATTGTGCATATTCCCTCAGATTTCGCTATTACCAGAATGTGTGTACAGTAAGTTACTCTTTTGTATGGTGGAACTGGACTCGCTGGGAGCGTGAAATTGACTGGATGGTCATGAATGGCATTAATTTGCCACTAGCTTTCAATGGACAAGAGGCGATCTGGCAAAAAGTTTACCTGAGAATCGGTCTCACTCAGCAAGAGATTGATCAACATTTCGGGGGACCAGCCTTTCTTGCTTGGTATGTACATCTTGTTATCAACAGTCAAATTCTCCTAACCTTTTCCAGCTTTTTTCTTACTTGCCTAGTTAGGAGAATCTGATGATCTATGAACTCAGTTGTAACAGTTTTTTTTTTACTTGGTTTTCAATAGGGCAAGAATGGGAAACCTGCGTGGTTGGGGAGGCCCTCTTCCATCATCATGGCACACAAATCAGTTACAATTACAGCATAAGATCTTGGACCAGATGCGAGCTTTTGGTATGACCCCTGTGCTTCCAGGTTTTGCTGGACATGTGCCAGAAGGTTTGACCAGAGTCTTCCCAAAGGCCAATGTTTCAAGACTTGGTGACTGGGGCCACTTCAATAGCACATACTGTTGCACGTATCTTTTGGATCCCACTGACCCTCTTTTTAAGGTAAATAAATGAACAAATAAATTTTGCATAAATATCTCAACTGAAGGGCTGAATGGAAGAAGACCCTATGTGACATCTGATACACTGCAAGATTCTTGTGATAAATTGGTTTTTGCTTCCTTCCACAAAAAGAGGAGAATTTGACATGAGATCAAGAGTCACTCAGGACAGAGGAAACAAACAAGCTGCTAAGGAAAAGCAATACATTTCCATTCTTTATTTGAGCTCTGGCAAACACACAATAGTTATAAAACAGCGGACTTAGAGAAGGGAGAAACTGATTACTCGCATGGCGTACTACGCTTAAATAGTGTTTACCAAATATGGAAAGGCATGTGCTGTCAAGGACAGCAGAGATGAGTGTGGGCTCATCTAAGCTTAAAGTTGCTTGCCAACATTAGCCTTTATTTTATGCTAAAATAACAGTAAAAAAGGAGAACTGATGTTACCTGAGATATAGCTGCTTTTCCCAGCCAAAACTCTGAACCTAGCATCTGAACTCGAGAATGGAGTTTATCACACTAGCAATGCTAGAATGCATGCGTCTTACACATTATGTTCTACCATGAGGAAAAGCACTCAATGTTCGTGGGTAGTCCCGTATGAAATGTATCTTTTACCTAATGTATAGTCAACTTTGACGCTAACTAATCTGTGCATGCATTTGGAGCAAATTACTTTTGTTCTTAGCCACATCACAAGGATAGAATGGGATTTGCAAAACCATGATATATTTTTGTCATGTTATCAAAGAAAGCAAAGTAAGTATGACACGTTTTGCGTAATGCAAACAGGTACCTATAGCTACCCCACCCAGTTCCCCTTCCTGCAAGGCTAATTGATTAATTGAAATTAATTAATTAAGCAAACATTAAAGTTTGCACCTTATGCTGTTATTGCAGTAGTGCATTATTGCGTTAGTGCCTTAGCGAACAACAGCTCTTTAAACCATCCCAATAGTGCACTCTGTGCTAAAAACTGTCTTCAGTTGGTACCTGTACTTTCTTTTACTAATAGTATGAACTTATTATGAATGCCCATTACAGCAAATTGGTAGAGCATTTATCAAAGCAATGACCTCAGAGTTTGGAACAGATCACATTTACAATGCTGATACTTTCAATGAGATGACCCCAGGTTCAAGTGAGCCCTCCTATCTTTCCAGTGCCAGTAAAGCAGTGTATGACGGAATGCTTGCAGGTGATCCAAAGGCTATCTGGCTTATGCAGGGGTGGCTTTTTCAGGATACTGGATTTTGGAAGCCACCACAAATCAAGGCATTGTTACAAGGTAATAGTCTATTGACAGTTCCTTCTATATCATTAGGTTATAGCTAATTATGAGGCACAATTAAAGCACCAATTAAAGCATGGCAAGTTTCCCAGTAAGCTGTCTTTGGGGCAAGTGTAGATGTTTCTAAAAAGGTTACACATCCTCTGGGTGGGGACCAGCTCCCATATGAAAAGGTCTTGGATGCTTGTTCGGATTGAAATGCCCCTATTTTAAGTTGCTAATTAAAGTATCTTTTACAGTGCCCTTGGAGAAATTAAAAAAATGCTGTCATCTCTGTTTGAAGTCATATCTTTTAGGGGTCAAATAAAGTGCAAGTCCAACCCAGATAATTTGGTCTGTTTTAGGGGTTGAATTCAAATTTTCTTACAAGCATACTTGATTTTTTCACATGGGAGTCCCCTCCCCCCCNAAGTTACTTTTTTATGTTATAATTAAGGCCCTTGAGAGACTGCTATAAACATTGCATGCCTAAGTTTTTGATGTTTTGAATCTCGTGATTTATTTTAATCATCAACATCATGGTGGTTCCTCTCTCTTGCTCGGAGAGGGCAGAAAGATGAGAGACACTGGGAATGAGGTTGTCCTCAAGCTATATTTTTAAATATTGTTTTTTCTTTCTTTAAAGGGGTACCTAAAGGTCAAATGATTGTCTTGGATTTGTATGCAGAAGTAAGCCCTGTTTGGCAAAGAACAGAGTCCTTTTATGGGCAGCCATTTATTTGGTGTATGCTTCATAACTTTGGAGGAAATATTGGTTTTTATGGAAACTTTATGAATGTTGTTTCAGGTATGTGTGATTATATAAATGTCACACCTAATTGTGGTTCATTAAGGTGGTTCAAAACAGTTTCAACAGTTACAAAATTTAAAAAAAGTCAGAGAGGGTTCAGAGCCACCTTAAATTTTGGAAAATCTAATGTGGCTGTGAACCTTATCCACAGCCTCTGTTGAGAAAACCATCTAAGTTAACTAGTTGCCTGTTATAAAAAAAAAAACTAATGTGGTATTCAATAGCAGATTAGTAATTGGATAGTTTCATTTTTAACCTGGATGAAGTAAAAAAAAAACCTAATGATAATGCACCTCACTCTCCATGCCATTTTTAGGGCCCATTGATGCTCATGGCCATGAAGGCTCTACCATGATTGGTACAGGACTAACACCAGAAGGAATTGAACAAAATGATGTCATCTATGAGCTAATGAATGAGATGGGGTGGAGGTCAGAGCAGGTTGACATCATGTCCTGGGTTAAAGATTACTCCTACAGGAGGTATGGTGGCATGAACAACTATTCTCTTAATGCTTGGATACTGCTTAGCAGAAGTGTCTACAACTGTACTGATGGGCATGCTGATCACGTTCATTCAGTCATTGTGAACCGCCCATCACTTCATTTAAAGTTCAATCAGTGGTACACACCTGAGGACGTGTGGGAAGCATGGGATGCAATGGTTTTGTCGGCAGACAGCTTCAGTCCAGTAGAACCTTTCAGGTGATTATCACATAGGGCTAGCAACTTCAGTGTTCACAATAGAAGACAGATTTAGATGGTGCCTTTCTTATAGCTCTAACTCAGACCTTTTTTTTGTCTTTCTCCAACTCCACCACTTTGCATTTTGTCTCACTCATTTCCCAGGCACCAGGTAAATATTTTGCTAAGCTTGCAGCCTTGATGAACTAAAAACAAAATGTAGGATCTGTGGACAGACTATCTAACTTCATGTGCATTTGGTTCATTTGCCAAATGGGTCATTTAAATTTTCTGGTATTTAAAACAGGAAGATCACTGGAGATTCCAAACAGGAGGGGGGTTTCCCAAGCTCAATTTAGAAACTGAAAGTATGAAGCTAAACTGGAATTTCCAGATGGGTGGGGGACACGAAACCACTATACCTTCCTTGGGTGGAGGGGGGGGGNAGGGAAGGATATTTTCCAGAACAACACAGTGAAGTAGTCAGTACTCCCTGTCAATAGCTTAATTGCTCCGTCTTACACTGCAAGCTTTCATGAGCCCCTCTCTGAAAGGAAATACCTCTATGCAGGATATTATTCAATTGGTTGTACGGATGGTTCATGGTCTGAAATGTTTCTTTCTCAAAGGTATGACTTGGTGGATGTAACTCGACAGTCCCTGCAACTCATTGCCGTGAACATCTATTATGAAGTGCTCTCTGGCTACCATAACAAGTCAAAAACTGAAGTTCAAGCAGCAGCTACAAAGTTGTTTCAATTATTTACTGACATGGATGCCATTCTCTCATCAAACCAGTATTTCTTGTTAGGACATTGGCTCAACAGTGCCAAGGCACTTGCAACAAATGCGCAGGAGAGCAAGTTGTACGAGTACAATGCTCGTAACCAAATTACTTTGTGGGGTCCTCGTGGAAATATTGATGACTATGCTAACAAGATGTGGGGCGGCCTTGTGAATAGTTACTACAAACCACGCTGGCAACTCTTTGTGTCTTTTCTTCTGGACGCAATTGCACATGGAACTCCATTTGACAGTAACAAGTTTAATGCTGCCGTCTTAGGACAGGAAACACAGTGGACGCAAGACACCAGTTCATTTCCAGACAGTCCTGTTGGTGACACTTTGACTATTGCAAAAAAGCTGCATGCAAAGTATCGGCCAAAGAAACATTCTTTTTTTAAAAAAAATTAAAATAGGTTATGGTATATTTTAGCTTGCAAATGTTTGACCAGGACACAGATTGGTAAATATTAATGTACTGGAACTTAAACTGATTTAAAATATTTACAGTGAAGTAGGTACCACTTATTATAAAGAGTGAAAATAAAAAAAGGGGCAAAAACTGCACAAACATTTTTAAACTCCTAATGATATTGTGACCTAGTTTCTTAAGTGGTGATACTATAAAACAGAGATTTATAAGATTTCATGGTAAGTTACAGTAGTATGTTGTAACCATATTCAAACTATTCTTAATTACGTTACTTGCTTTGTACAGAATGTCATTTGGGTTAGGGTTAGGTTAGGGTTAGGGTTAATTTCTGTTCTGAAAACATTTAAGGCTGAACAACGTACAGGAGCTCATCTGAAGATAAGATTATGATTTGTACAAAATGAGGCCAAAAATCTTGTTGTCTCCTGTAAAACCCAGAGATTAATTACCTAAAGAGAGAAATATTTTTATAGCTATCAGTGAACTTTGAAAATATGATTATTTTGCACAGCACTGGCTTTGTCTTTACAGTGAATGCTCTCTAAGCTGGACATTCTTGGGACATGTTTTAGCTCTCTGCCTTAGAGAAGTGTCCATCTTAAAGAGAATTTAAAGACATATTGGTAAAATCTAGGCAGGACTAGCCAGTCACCAATGTCCATCTTGGGAAGTGTCCCACCCCTTAGAGCAGTGTCCAGTGCGAAAGAATTGACTTAAGATAAGCATAGCAGAACCTCAATTCTTTCCCTGCTCAAGGCACTCAACAGTTCTGTACTGACAATGTGGCACTACTTACACCTGTGTAGTGTTCCATACACAAGACATTAGAGATCTTTGAAGAGTTACTCACCGCCTCCACTCCTCCTTGGAAAAGAAACCCCCCCTACTTTTGATAGTCTGTATTATTTTGCTTTTGTCAGTAGGATTAGAAGTATTTTGGAGACTTGCCCTTCATCTATTGATTTAGAGTTTTAACATGCATTATTAAACATTGTAGTTGCCATCTGTCTTCTCATTGGCTAAAAGCCTACAGTTAATTCTGGGAAACAGCGCAACCTACAGATTATTCACTAATCTGCTAGCAGATTAGTGAATAATTCATAGGTTGCGTGTGCAATGCATGATTTCCAAGAGCAAAGTTCATGGAAAGCGAAGTAAGAACATGGCTTGTCGAAAATAAACTGTGTTCAGTGCGATACTGCGTTTGTTGTTAGTTTCTTTAAAACAATGTATAATAAAACAATATTATTATTAGATTCGGTTTTTGTGACATCCGAAATAATCAAGGTCTCGACCGTGATTATTTTGGATGTCACAAAAACCTCATTCAATAATTGTTTATTATTCTATGTCCAAACATTTTTCAGGCATCCAGTCCATTTCAAAAAAAAAAGCAATAAGTGCACACTTTTGAAACCAAATTCCAGAAGGAAATACCAATGAAAGCCTTTTGCACAAATCTAAGAACAGGACCTATTATCATGTTACAGTAAATCATTAGTGTGGAATTTTTTAGGCAATATGTTAGACATTTCTGAAGGAAGGAAGCAATTCAGGGATTGAGAAGTCTGCTTTCAAGGAATTCAGGAGGATCTATCCCAAACTCTAGAAACATATTTATGTAAACTGAAGCCACCCCATCCAAAAGAATTCAGTTTCACTTTTATTATTCTGTCATTTATTTTAATACAATCAAATAGACGAAACTAGTTTTTTAACACCCAAAATGAGCTTGGCTCTGTAATAAGCTTAAGAAACCTTGTGCAACGGACAGCATAAGTACAGTTAAATTAGTATACCAAATGCAGATAATGTGTTGTGTAAAGCTGTATGTTACAAAATGACTAAGCTGCTCTTGAAAAGCTGTATTCACCTTTTCACAACCCGAAAGTCGTAAAAGTGTTACAACGCTATTTCAAACCTCATGCGCACATATACTTTTAACTGAAGATGTAGGCCAAAGCCCAAGCGAGCCACTCTGGTATAGGCACATGGAAAGACAAACTCTTACTTTAATGTAGCAATTCAGTTTAAAGCAAAAGTCCTTCATCATAAATCTACAAAATCAGCATGTTTTTTAGGCTAGGGTGACAAAGACGTTAGGAACTTAAGACAACTGAAGAGGAAGAAGAAGTTAGTTTACAATAAAGGATATAAAACCATAAAATTTAGAGAACTTGAAGGGGCATTATCATCAATCACTAAGGAAAACAATGTACTGCACAAAGGATTCTGTTTGTTGAATTATAGAAAGACTTAATAAATTTTAACACAATGACAAAATTGATTTCCAACAGAACTCTATAGGAACTATCCGTACTACAAGATCATCTTTCGAGAACTTCAAAAGTATCCATGAAAACTATTTAAAGCCACATTTTTTTAGTGAGTTAAAGTTGAAATCTGTTTCCACTGCAATTAAAAATTGCATCATCATGATTTCTGTCATTTTTGAAACTACTTTCCAGGAATCATTTTCTCTTTACTGTTGGAATCATAAAAAATTGATGATAATATCCCTTTTTCAAACCAGTCCACAATAGCATTTAGTTTTGCTTGCCTAGCCTTTTCTTTAACATGTATTTCATTGTTTTTTACAATCAGCTTCAACAATTTTTTTTCCTCAGGAACAAATGCATCCTCCTCAATACCTTTAGACACAGTAAAAGCAGTAAAAAGTTCCCTAAAACGGAAACAGGCTTTGCAGCTGAAGTCTGCTAAAATATAAATACTTCCTTCGATACACGTCAAGTTAAATTAATGCTTAATCTATTTTTTTCTCAGGGTTGAAAATTGGACAGGAATGTTAGCAGTAGTACCTGCTTTACAACCCATGCCCACCTAGTTTAATTAAATCCTCAAGCCTGCATGGCAGGTCCAAGAGTAAATAAAATGTGCTGCCTAGGGGTGTATGTGGGGTGGGAGAGCAGTACACAATAACTTGTGCCTGGAGTCCCACCCAACCCACCCTGGCAACACATCCCATATTTACTCTTCTACATCCTACAGAGGAAAAAAAATGCTTGTGAAAAGTACATAATACAGCAAGACTGCTGTTCATTTTTGTGTCATTCTGTATTTTTTTTTTCACGCAATTTATATTTTGTCCCTCTGACAGAGATAAAATTAAAGAACAGTTGAAACAGAAAGCTTTCTGATTTTTTTTTCCAAACAAGTGGAATTAAATCAACAGGAAAAAAGAAAACTGTTCACAACACAATCTGTGTCAGGTAGGAATGTCCCCTTTGATCCAAATCATCAACAAGTGTGGAGAGTATTGAGTTACCAAACAAAAGTTGGGAGAGATACATGAGGGACAAAACAAATCATCGAAAATTTGTCATAAACTGGATATTAGCACAAACTACCCATGCATAAGTTAGCCACAAAAAAACAAGTAACTTGTTAAAAATTCTTTGGTGAAATTCATCTACAGAGGTTCCAGTTTTGCAATCTGCTTAGGTTATTAAGTTAAAAGAACCTTCAATCTATTAAAAGATTAAAAATGTTTGCTTCTGGTATGAATCATTGGTCCACTTTAGGTGACTAAGTAGACACCATTTCATAAAATGATACGGCATGATACATTGTAGATACACCATATGATTACTTAGTTTTCATCAACATAATAATTATTATAGGGTAACCTCTCATTCACTGACATTAACTGCAGTGCAAAAATGAAAATTAAAGCTAGAAAGAATTTCTCCTGAACTGAATCAAAAAATAATACAAAAAGCTCTACTGAACAATCCAATAACCCAGAGTCATTTACCAACTGTAAAAGCACAGAATCATTCTTGTTGGCTTGATCCCTCGTAAGACATTAAAGATTGCAGTGCTGATTTGTGGTTATCTGTTAAATCCTTGAGATCGTTAAGAAAGGTTTTAAACCTGATTCATGTCACAAGATTAATTTAGCAATAGATTCACAATTGAGAAATTCATTTCAGCACTATCTTGAAGCTGAGGCTTGTCGTTCCTCAATCATGCTGGTGAGTTTTCGCTGCAACACTTCTTCTGATCGTGAAATTTTAGCAGGAAGATGAGTACCGTGGTCATCCTGCAACAGTGCTCTCTTATGGCTTGTCTCTCCCGTACCTTGCTTCAGCATCTGGTTGATATCCCGCAGTTTCTGCATATGAAAAAGTGAAATAGTCATCTTTCTGTTCAGAACTTCTCTCAGGCTACCTTTAGAGCTTAAACCATGTTAAACATAGGAATTTTCTTGGATTGCAAGTTGCAAGAAATCTATCTTGTCTAACAACCCATTTGCAACCTGCAATTGTCATTTTGCAAGCTGCGAGACAAGTTGCAGTGTGTAACACCCCCTCTAAACACCTTGGAATGTTTTCAGTCATAACTGTTGCATTGCAAGTTGTAAGAAAAATTGTCTAATGTAACAGGGGCTGGAGGTTTTCTTAAACTTCATAGTTGACAAATTAATACTAGGATATAATCATTTACCTCTGCTGGACTTTCTTTGAAGCAATACAACAGTCGTGTTGTTGGTGTCATTGAAACTCCTGAATAGAAACAACAGAAAAAAACAATACAGTTACTTAAAGTTTTCCAGTCTATTTTTATCTTATTGTTGTGTTGAAAAATGCCAAACAAAAAGCTAGGAATTGCTTGGTTTCCAGAGCTGTTACAATGCATTACAAGTACAATACAATTTCAAAAGCTGTGATAATTTCATTAGTTTTAAAATCATCTTATAGTGACTAACCATTCTTGTGTGGAGAAATGTACACGGGATGTCGGGTGGAGACTTTGCGACGTGGAGAATGTGCCTGATTTTTCATCACAGGCAATGGAGAAAGTGGAGGAGAGTCCAACTACAGAAGAAAATGTCAACAATTCAACAATAAAGGTTAAATGTGTATTGTATAAACACCAATGAATTCCCCGGTAAACTTTTCCGGAAAAACTTGATATTTTCACATGTGAAAATAACATGCTGTCTTCGCACATGAAAAGATCATAGTTGCTGTGGTTACATAATAAACTGCACCTTTTACAGCAAAAGTAGTGTTGGTAATAGTATTATATGTTGAAAAGTATTTCACTCACTCTCTGTGGTAACTTGAGAAATATTTTTTAACACTCAAAGAGAAATTTGACTTCTACTAGCTTGGACCAAGGCTTTTTGTACTGGTTGTCTTGATGTCTTAATTGTCACAAAATACTACTCGCAATGGGCAAATTTGTCTGAATTCACTCCTGAAACCACTGGAACATATTTTGTTTATGTCTGCTACATGTACATCTGCAGACAATTTCAATTCCCTTTTACGTCTGAAATCATGAGGCCTGATTTAACTTACAATCACCCATCAACTGAAAGATGCAGGAGTAACTACAACATATTTCTAAAAACTTGTGTACCGGTATATTATTACACAATTTCAGTACAACTTACCGCTCTGTCTCCAGCCGAGAACTTGAGAGCAAAATTTTTCACCCTTTTGATGAACACCTAACAAATGGATTCCACAGAGAATGTTAAAAACATGAATGCATGTTTTGAACATAATATTTCATTGCTTAATATTTACCTTGTTGTAGAACTCAATGAGGTCTCCTCTTTCACCGTCGATATTTGGACTGTTCTCAGTGCTGCTGGATCCAGAAGCTGAAGCACCAGTTGGAGGGGGTGTAGAAGGTACAGTGCTTGCACTCCTCACTGGGCTCGCTCTTGCACTACTGCAGCCTTGAACTGGGCTGGCTGGTCCACTACTACCGGGCTCACTTTTGATACCTGTTGTCAAGAAACCACTTTTAGTTTCACAATTTTTTCTCAAAGTCTTAGTGAAAGGAAAAGGTGAAGGGGCACATGAAACTGGAACTACAGACGAAGAGTAGTTGACAACTTCTTCACAGGGTTAGTTGAAAGGGCAACCACGGGACTGCATACAAAAATCACCTCACAGAAGGTGATGCAGCAGCAATAACAACAAAGCCAGGGACCACAGAAAAAGCTAATGTGGTTTATCCTAGTTTCTGCAACATCCATGGGAGTTTCAATAGACCATTTTATAGTTGTCTGGTCAGTGACTTGGCCTTTGAATGGCAGCGAGGCTGGAGGTGACCTTGTTTTGATACAGACCTCATTGCTTTTGTCGCGTAAATCAAGTTGTTCTAGTGCTTACTAGATGCATTTACATGACAAAAGCAGAGAGGTCTGTATCAAGCAACCTCGCTACCTTTCAAAGGACAGGTCTCCGAGCAGACAACTGTAAAATGGTCTATTCTCCGAACATAGGTTTCAGTAAGGGTCTGGTGCTTGGCCATTCTGATTGCTCGAAGGCAGATTTTACCATGACCAATAATGTTCAGAATAAACATAACCTTAATTTAATCTAACCTCTTGCTCCACCCTCACTTCCACTGCTACCAAGTGGGACTTGTCTTCTTCCTCTGAGCAGCACACTTCTGTAAACCTTTGTGGGTAAGAGGAAAATAAGAACTCAGAGGAGCGAGTATGAAAGGAAGATGTTAAAAGGTCTATTTGTACTGTCAACATTTAAAAGAACCTTACATGGCTAACAGCCTGAGGCTGAGTGCGATAACACTTCATGATGTTCTGGAATGACAGATCAGCATTTGTAACCTATAAAATAAACAAGAAATTAATATTTTAGAGGGATGGAGGAAAATATGCTTTTATTTGTCACATCAATAACTATATGAGATAAAAACATACTGTGAAATAATGCTGGTTTAAAAATTTGTTGGACAATCAGGTATATTATGATGTAACTCAGCACATCTCTCTCAAATATCTCTCATTTTCCCTGTCAGACATAACAATGGCTATCATCCTTGTCAAAAGCTAGATTTTGGGTATCAAATTTTTACTTAAACAATTTACTATAAGGTTTGTGGGCTACTTAAACTTGTCAACTGTACAATGTATAAAAAAAATATCCAGGGCACTACACACTAAAGCTTGTAAGAAAGTATTACTTAAATACATACCTTGCCCATGACATAAATTGAACACATCAATATCTGATCAATATGTCTGTCCTTCATCAACTCCGTCATGTTCATCAAGGTATGCTCAAAGCATGTCCACATCCTACAAACAAGAATGGGTATCCTTATTAGTGATCAAAATGCTATTTCTCCTTAAAATTAACTTACAAGAATGGAGCAAAAGATCACTGGGCGATGTGCAATTAAATATTCCAACCTTGTACCATGTGAAATGCATGGAGACACAGGGAGAATTTACATGAGGGCTTACTTTACACGGAGATCCTCCTGGACATCAAGTTTGGAGCAGAGATCACGGAGGCGAACACTGGATAGATGATAAAGCTGTGCATAAAAAAGAGAAAGTTTGCTACAGAAGACACAGAAAATTGACACAATTTGGAATCCTGATATTAGAGATAAGCACCTGATTTCTTGTCAATTTATCAACACAAATCATACTGGAAAGCTGATGAGAATTAAGACACTGGTTACCAATGGGAAATTTCAGTTTGGCAGTTGAAGAAGTTTACATTGAACAATATCTGCCAAAACATGCTTGGTCTGATTACAGCTTTTCTTAGCCTTACATCCAAGTTTGAGAACAAACATGCGATAGGACACCAACAATATCTGAATACAATCCTCTTGGAACTGAAATCAAGGAATGCTGATGGCTTTGAAATGTAGGTACTAATCAATATCCTTGACTCTGCTACTGGGGTCAAGGGCAGAAACAAAATGGTGGTAAATTCCTAACCATGACTTGGTTAGAAAGTCAGGCTGCATGTCCCATTTACATCAAAACTCCATATGTTTGATACAATTTTAGAACATCTGATTTATCAGTAACTTAACATTCACATAAGCATTCACAGTGTTCCAGCATGGCAGCTACCTTTCTGAAGAACAGTGCTAAGGAGCCTGTCTTTCTTGGTTTACTTGGAGTCGGAGCCTTTGACTTGGGTGTGGTTGGTGCTGATGATGACCTGACAGGACTTGACGTCGGTGATGCCATGGTATTGCTGGGAGCCAAAACACTCCCAGCCTGAGGCGATGTGACTTGCACAGTAGTTGAGGTGTTGGGCAACACAACAGCTTGAGCAACACCATTTACAATGTAGCCACCCTGATTACCTGGTGCTGGTGTAATAATCACTGAAACCAGATAAAAAGGTTGATTCTTCTTATACTGATAACAACAACAACAACAACCATTTATTTGTACTCACAATTTATATCCAAGTAAATGTTACTTTTAATATCCAGATCAAAATGTAACTGATAACATAACTGATTTTGATCCTTTACTTTCAACATCCTAAATGAGAAAACAATGGTCATCAACACAATGTCCTTTGGTTGATGTTTCTTACACAGTCAAACCTCCACAATGGCAACCTTGGGGATGGAGGGAAGTGGCCGTTGTAGAGAAGTGGCAATTATGGGCAGGATGTAATTCGACACCTTGTGACCATTAGTGGAGGTTCCACTGTACTAATATTTCACTAAGCAAGAAATGGTCAGGATTCAAAATATTCCCTTGCTTTTAATACTCTGAGATTATAGTCTTCAGTACGGGTGCAAAAAAACAATTTGCCCAAAATAGTTGTACATTCAAACCTCACCTTTCAGACACCTCCAATGGACACCTCCCCTGGACTAAAGAATCCTGAATTTACATAATCTTTACCTCAGACTATAACACAGATATCTCCACAAAATGGATGCTACGCTCTGCTCCTTTGGTGTCTGTACTAAAGAGGTTTGACTGTGGCCCCAAGTTAAAACTCTTTTCCAAATGTCCAAAAATAGTTTGTAACTGTTATTACACTTACATGTTGGGGCGTTCCTTGCTGCAGCCTGCCTTGTTGTAGCAGAAAGAGTCACCGGTGGAGCACTCTGTGCAGAAGGAGAGCTACTGAAGAGATTACGCCTTGCACCACTGCTTGGGGTGATTGGTGAACTGAACACATCATGGGCTGATGGAGAGCTGGGCAACTGCAACACTGAAAACCAAAACAATGGTATGGTGAAATCCCTACCCCAGATCATAGTATTCAATTCAAATACAAGTTCTTGAACTACTTTAGTTCAGTTCAAAGATTAAGTATGGGCGATGGATAACTGAACAACTAGATTTGAATCATAACAACTGTCAATGTGCTAAATGATTATGGCTCTGCATTTCATTAAAATACAAAGACTACCATCTGCATTATCACCCTAAGCCCTCACCTCTTCTAGCAGCTCCTTCCTCTCCACAAATTCTTTGAACACGAGGGTGGATAATAGGCGAGGCCAGTAGGTTTTGTGTGCTGTGCGCAGCTTCTGTCTGGTAAGGGAGAGATACGTCTTCACATGATGGAACAGAACCAGCTTGTTGGATTGACGACCAAAGGGGAGAGTCATGGCTCCAAGCAAGGCACTCCAGAATCTGCTCTTCAATCTAGTCCAAAAGATGCAACAAATATTGAATTCCATTTATCTTTTGGTAATTTTATAATATTGCTAAAGGAGAAATCAGCCTTACGTGGCTAATCTGAGACTTACATGATTGAGGTGTTTAACAACATCTCTTGAGAGCCCATCTTCAGCTTTTATGAAAACTTCAATAATTTTCAGGAAACAGTAGGGACTGATGTCAAAGATTTCAATCACCCATGGAAAAGTTCTAATAAAATGAGAGCAAGACAGACAAGATATTAAGCTTTGCTGCAATTATCCAGAAGTAAAAATAAAGTTGCTCTATGCTCTCTGTACAAGATCCAGTACTAACAAGATACCTACCTTTGGGAGTTGTAAGAAAAGATAATGATTTCCAAACAACAGGCCATCAAGGAAGAATGCAAGTTCTCTCGCTCCAAGAGGCTCTGCAAAAAAGAAACACAAAGTGTTTGTAAACCCATATTTATCTCTTCACAGATGTTAAATGATTAGTTGCTGAAAAGAAGCCTAGCCCTTTTACTTCCCAGAAAAAAGTGAACTTACAGTTAAATCTAGGTGTCCTTGCAGCCTGTTCTGCTCTTGTAAAGTAATGCTTTCAAGAACCTGTCAATAAAACCACAGAAATGTTAGCATTGTATAAGCTCCTGTTTTAAATGAAAGCGAGCTATTTGCAGAGGTTTGTTTCAAAGACACAACATAGAAAAAGAATTGCCATGTTTCAATAGCAATCAACTTTCAACTTCCACAGTTACTGTCCATTACATGTATTATCCAATAATTCATTTTTCAGAGTCAACAAACACTAATTGCAAGAGTTAACCATACCTTGAAGTACAGAATCTCAGCAAGTTTCAGCCTCTTTGTGGCAAACTCTCTTGTGGAGCAGGGAGATTTTGGCCTGTCAGGCGATGGCTGAAAGGAAATTAGAACATATTAAGTTTCTGATCTGATGAAGAGGAGGCCAGACTATACAATTAAGTTCAAAACCATGAAGTAGCAATCAGACATCATTCCAATATTTGCTTTAATGAATCATTATTTACCTGAACATATTCCCGGAGGAAGGTCTCGCCAAGTGTTCCAACTCGACTCTCAATGGCTTCTTGAGGATTTCTACTGCACTCACTGCAACATAAAATACAGAGTCAGCACTGGAAATAATTTTTAATGCCTAGCAAGGCTGGTTAATAAGAGATTCATTACATGACTGGAACTACAGAACACCTTTAAGAGTAATCTTGCAGGCTCGTTCGGGACAGTGCCCGGTCCAATACTTGGAGAATATTGGACCGACAATGGAGCAATCTGATTGGTTGATTTTAGTTATTGGCCTTCTGAACTAACTTGTAATGGGTGTGTTTAACAATGTACTATGGGGTAATTCTCAAAGCAGAGTTCTTTTTAAGTTTTACATAAGCCTGGAGTGGCTATAAAAATGAAAACAAACATGGATATGTAACATGGTACATGTTTGAACCCAGGAGTATCAGCAGTTCATATAGTGTGATCGTCCGGGTGAGGGTAGTTCTGAAAAGAACAGTTGTTTGTGACTGATGTTTCGACAACCTGAGCGGAAGTCATCTTCAGGGTCAAGCCTTGACTCTGAAGATGACTTCCGCTCAGGTTGTCGAAACGTCAGTCACCAACAACAGTTCTTTTCAGAACTACCCTTACCCGGATGATCACACTATACGAACTAAACATGGAAATGGATGACTTCTGATTTTTAATATGATGTTTCAGTGCAAGCGTGGTCTACAAACAAAATCTTAATAATAATTTGCAATTGAGAACTTTCTACTTACGAGAATATTTTCAGGAGCCTATCACTTGGCCCTGCCTTCAACCCTGACAGGAGAGCCTGCAGTCTACTGACTGACTGTGTTGCTGTGGATACAGGAGTTACCCTACAAAATAGAAATAAACAGTGATTGGACCAAGAACTAAGATTTAATTTTAATTAATATTATTACCTAGCAGCTGCTTGGCTAACTATTCAGCACATGATTCAAGTGGTACTTAATTAAGATTGAAACTGATGAAAGTTAACATTCTTGAGAGAGTCTAAAAGTATATAATATTTTTTTAACACTGAATTTCTTGAAAATCAAAATTATAGCAACTCATTCTGTGAAGCATCTTACTTAGGATCTTTCTCCTTCAAATATCTTCTTCCAGTCAGGGGAGTTGAGGGCGCAAGACTTCTAGTCTGTAACAACAAAAGGAAAAAAGAATGAGTCTAAACTCCAGGAAAAAAAAAATATCTTGCATGCTATCTGCTACCGTAAGTGTATGGTTTTGCATCTGTTTCAGCGTGAGGTGGGTCAATAATTTTGTCATTTTTAGCTCGAGGCATACTGACATCAGTACACATATTCAGGTATTCATTTATTTTGGTCTACAGTGGTCATAGTTTTGAGAATCATATAGCATCCTACATCCCAAATCCATGCAATAGTCCTCCTCCTGTTAGGGAATTTGGATCACTCTGTGTATAACAATTAAGAGGGGTCTAAAAGCTTAAAGCTATAACTAATTCCATAACCGTAAACAGAAAGAAAAACAGAAAAACATTAGAACTTACTCTTGTAAAATGTTCCTGTAAATTCCTCCTAAGCCCCATCCTAAAGAAAGAGAAACCCTATATCAGTCATTAAATCAAATACACCCTTGTTTGCCAATAACAAAATCCTTCTTACATGTATAATACTGGCTTGACTAAACAAGAAATCATTTGAAAGTCAAATTATAACTGTTCCTTCCCCTCAGACATTTGTTCTTACCTTTGTTGCTCGTCAACTTCTGCAAAAGTGTAAGACTTTGCTGGTGTGCCTATTTCAACATGGGCCTCATCATCCAGGAAGATCCTCTCATCAAAATCTCCAACTGATAGCACATACTCCTCATATTCTTTATTGACAGATTTACTGGTAGATAAAACCAAGAAATCAACAAAAAGGTACACAAAAAAAAAACGTCCCACTATCAGTACTTAAAATATAACGTCTAAATTGTGGGTGAAAGACTTTTAGAGAGAAACAGAGCTTCATACTGTAATTTGCTTGCTGCAATGATCTTACTAGATAACACTGATAACTAGCTTCTGACCACTTCTCAAATGCAAATTACTAATTCATCAAGTTTAAACAAAGGACAGTGTTTGGATATCTGCTCTTATTTAGCATAGATTGTTATGATTTTATCTCTTTTTTTCCTTAGTTTTGATTAAAAAGATATATCAAATACTCAAGACAGTGTCTGACTACATTTCCAAAGACCTTGAAAGTTCACAAAAAATAATCCACTATGCATTTTATTCGTGTTTCGTGTTTGCAGGTAACTTGATTAGCTGACAAAGATGCAATGAACAGCTGAGAACTTGTTTTTGTTTGAAGAGAATGGTAGATTTTTCAAAAGACAAAATTAGTTATTTTCCATACTTCCAGATTGTCAAAGTTTGTGTCAACCCTGTCTCTTAAATGCACTCTACGGGATATTGAGAAGTTTGCACAGTATAAAACTGATATAAATCTTAAGATTAGGATGTAAAATGGGGAAGAGGGGGACAAAAGCTTGGACTGGATGGAATAAAGATACTCTTAGCCTTACCAGTTTTGTTCAAAATTTCCCTGATCCAGAATACCCGTCAGGTTTTCCTCATTCCCTTTCAGTGTCTGTTAAAAGAACATGAATTTTACTGCAACTTGCAAAATAAAGCCCTGCTCATGTCCAAGAATTCAAAGACTGAGGTTTTAAACCATTACTTCCCAGTTTGGTGTTGACGGTGAGGGGTTGGGTGGTGGGTTACAGCCTAAGAGAACTGCTGGTTCTGGAAAGATAGGACAGTCCTATTATCTTACTATCAAAAGAGGATAACAGTGCTAAGCACAGGTGAGTTAAGTGTCACATTGATGCTTTGTTATCATGATATATCCTCATCTTTATTAGCATTCTTCTTGGAGATAGGTTTCTGGCAAAAATGCTACTTTTTGAAAAAAACATATATAATTTAGCCCAGATAAAGTAGTCTCCTCCACAGCCGTTTTTTTGGGATGTCACGTAACGCTCCCCCCAAAGAAACGGCTGCTCACAGCCGAACCACATTCTTTTCCTTTTGTGTTTGAGGTTTGTTTGCGCTCTGTTGAACAGACCAATCACATAATAGCAAAGTGTGAATGACGTAAGCTTTCATGCGAAAAGGTCTGCGGTGCGAACACACAAGGGATTTCTGGCTTTTGTTTCACGCCGCATGTCGCCAAAAATAGGCGGTGTTCGCAGGCTACGATCATGATGGATGAAAAAAAAAATGTAAATGAAAGCTCTAAGTACAGGTGCTTCGTGTGCTCATTGCTATGTTCAGCTAATGAGAGAATATATATTTTCTTGAAATGTCAAATTGTAAGCGTCAACCAAGGGCTAAATGCTTCCTACAGATTGTAATCAGGAGGAAAGAGCAGCATTCAGAACTCGCTGTCAACAAAGCGAGCGAAGCTACTTGATTTCCTGGTTCCTTTATTAAGTTAAAATAGATATCTTCCTTCTCGACAATATTTTTTGAGTTGAAAGCTTCTAATAATTAGCTTGACCTTTGAAGAGTCTTCAGCTACATAGAAAGCTCATTCAAGTGTCGCTGGTATTTTTCGGCATCCCTATTAAAACAAAAGCTGGAAATCTGTATGTTCATTTGTGACATTTCCCACAACGGGATACAAAGATAAAAAACATTCTCTGATTGGACAAAGGGCGAATTTGGCACTAAAACGTTCTTGAAAATAGAATGGAAGAGGTGACTGGCTAATTTTGTGAAAGGAATGTTGTTGGGATGTGAGCAGCTGTTTCTTTGGGGGGAGCGTTGCGTGACATCCCAAAAAACGGCTGCGGAGGAGACTAAGATACAAGAGGCACATATTAAACTAGAATAGCTATTATTCTCCTTGTCATGGCCTCTCTTTCATGGAAATAGGGGTGGGTCACGTGTGAGATACCACTGCCTATCATGACAGCCAACTGTTAGTACACAGGATGATGTAATCACTTTAAGCCTTATACCTTTTTTTCAAATAGTTGCTTTAGGAACGGCTTCCAGTGATGTTCTTTGATACCTTTAGCCTCCAACACTATTCCTGTTGGAAAGACAAATCAATACACTTAAGACATGATTGATCATCGCAGTTATATAATATACTTCTTATATTCCTCTGCAGTTCAAATATATGATCATCCATATGTTTGCTAAAATCAATGCATTATTACACAAAATATCTCTACCCCTCCAATAGAAGTTTATTTTGCCGGTTACTCCCTCCCCACAGATCCCTATCTTTGAAAAAGGTTGGCTTTTAAATACCTACCCTTCCCCGGTCCCTGGAATTTCCATGGACCTCCTTTTGGGGTGGGTATGGTTTTTTCCTGGAATGACATATCAAGAGCAACCACTTTGTGCTGTTTGCTCAACACTGCTACTTCCACAGTCAGCATTGCAAATCTCCCCACCTCTTTTACACATTTTCGTTGGGAGAATTTATAATATATTGCAGACTCAAGCTTGAAGAATTTAATTCTCCATACTGCTTGTGGTACAATGTTATCAAACTTTCATTTCTGAGAATTAAGTGGTGCATTAAGACAACACTTTAATAATTGTTTATGTATCCCATTGTTTGGAATTTTCACTGTTCTTTTGTCCACTATACTTGGCATTATAATCATAATATGAGGAGAAATTCAGTTTTGATCACTCTTAGGAACTTGCAGGTGATTACTGGCAATACACTAAATTGTCCTGCAGACAACAGGGCTAAAAAAAAGTGCTGTCTGGTTGTCTGGGACAAGTAGATTTTCCTTCTGAGCAAGTAACTTTTCATTCTCATTTGCCCCCAGTGGACAAGGGATCAGGCAAGTCATCTGCCAGGCCTTGTGCATGATGTTGGTGTACAATTGCGTAACAAAAACGGTCTCGCGCTACATTTCTTATTATTTCTCGTCATTCTTAAAACCAGTGGTCGTAAAACTTTGCAGAACTTCCATCTATGTGTACCCCAAAAAGCAAAATTATCTGTCTGAAAGAGATCTATTAGAAGAACAAAAACAACATTCCGAAAACAGGTTAGGCAAAAAGTGCCGTTTTTCCCCCATTTTTTGACCAAACCGTAAAGTGCATTATTATAATTTTTAACTTCTTAGTGTGAACAATTCAATTCAAGAAGGTGTCTCCAAAGTGCACCTAAATTTTGCTTTAAAATGGTGGGATTCTTTCATTTGTGGTTGTATCTGTCAAAAAAATATGATTACAAAACTAGCGCGAGACCACGTTTTTAATTTAAAAACTTTGTCATTTCATTGCGCCTTTGTTCACACATTTCGAGCACTTTTTTCCTTTTTTGCCTTTTGCGCAAATTTTGCGTTTTGCCAATCGCGCCTCCGGCATTGCGCATTTTTGCCATTTTGTTGTTTTGTTAATTTTTCCTTCTGGGTGCTTTTGCCGCTAGCGAACAACACCGTAATAAAGGCTGGAGTACGCAAGCCGTGCAAAGTACTGACAGAAAGCCGAAGCGAGCATTTTGTGATACTTTTAGTGATGCTATTTTCACAGGCGAATGCTCAGTTGAGATTGAACATTATCCTCGCCGATGCTTCCGCAAAGTTGGCAAACAACACCGTAAGAAAGGTCAACCAAGACATTGATGTTTTGTTTTGTTTTCTCTTCATGCGGAAACCTTTCAATCCCAGCCTAACTTGACTCGTTCATCCATTTCCTTATTTGGACATAACTTGGGCTTGTTGTAAATAACAAAATGGCCACGATGAACATGAAATGGACAAGAAGATGCAGGGAAGATGCTTGCTTAGTGCGTGTAAAAAGAAATCAAAAAAGACATAAGATAATTCGTTCTCTCATTTTCTCAAGATCGCCAGGCTGGACAAAAATTGGACAAATGTGTGTTTAAAGTTACATCGTTTCCAAATCCTTGGTAAGCACTCTGATAGCCTAACTTACTAGCATGTGGTGTTCTCTTATAGTTTGCGTTCTGGAAAACGCTTTTCTCCATTTTTGTGATTCAAAAGAGCTCCTTTGACAATAATTTGCAACGCTTTGCCTTGCGAAACCTGTATCTCAATTTGCTGGACTCGGAATAAAGGCAAAATATGCAAAAAGCCAAAAGGGTGCGAATTTTTTGCTGGAGCGAAAGGCAAAAGCAAAAACCACCAAAAGGAGTAACGTGCGTGATTTTGGCAAAAAGCAAAATTTGCCAAAGAGGCAAAAATGGCAAATCGCGCCTGCAATGGGCGCAATAAGAGTAGCGTAAAATATGGCCCGATGTGTTACGCTACTTGTGAAGATTAGAATGAAGAGTGTGTGTGATTTTGACTCCTTAAAAGAAAGGCACAAGCGCTTTTGAGACGTAGCTAAGATGGAAGGAAACTACATGAAAATCACTACAAGATGGTGCTCATTTGAAGAGAAAAAAATTAATAACCTGCGAATTGCAGCATTTCTAAAACAAATTTTCGTCCGATTTTTGCTAATTTTGATTTGTACACCAACATTGTGCGCGAGGCTGCCAATGAAATGATTAAAAGAGCAAACTAAGCTTGACCAGGGCTAGCAAAATTTGAGAGCTACTTGTCCCAAGGGCAAGCTGAAATTCAATTTTCTTTCTAACCCTAAGACACAAAACAAAAATAAAGAGACAGCAAAGGTGAGCAAGTTCAAAAATGATTCCAGTGATGTGATTACATGTGACTGTACCTTGATGCCTGTTGCACAGCCGTTCAACAATACATGGCACATCAGCTGGTACCCTGAAATCTCTGTTTCCAAAATCTTGAGGGAGTCCTACATGAAGGGCAAAAGCATGGATGTGAACTTCGAGTAGTTGTGATTTCTAATGTTTTGAGAAACAAATGAGCTTTGAATTTGAAAAAAATTACCTTCAAAGTTAGGATTCAATAATTCTCGCCGATTCCTAGTGAACAAAGCGTTTGAGTACAAAAGATCCAAGCAACACAACAGTAAGTGATAGGAGTTCACCAAGTCATCACTGATAGCAGGGAAATGGCCTGTTGATAAAGTGCAAGACATGTTGTTATTACTTCAAGAATAATTCCACAGCGAGTGTTTGATCGTTCACATTTGCCACCGGTAATTCCCAAAAAGAGGACTATGGGTCCTGCAATGCAACGTTTTTACTTCACGATTCGGAGGGACCACTCCCTTTAAAGAGAGTATACTTTATGAGGGGGGAGAGGTGATTGTGGTTTATCACTTCCGATACTTGACATAATTACAGCATGCAAAGAAAGTTGTGTCCAGCAATCCAGGGCTAGTGAATTCTGTTCTTTGCTTGCCTGATGGGCAATAAGAGTTTTTTTTTTTTGGCTGGGGGGTCTCAGTTTGGGGAGAAATTAAAATCACAGAAGTAGTGAGACAACATTATTGTATTATTCTAATTTTAAATTAATCAATTATGCTAGGGAGAAATTTGGAGGGCTACTGATAGTGTTTTTTGGGTTAGTACATCACTATTACAGCTTGCTGGAAAGGGCAAGCAAAGAATTTTGATTTTCTTTGCACCATGGCAGCTAGAAATCCACAATCAAAAGGACAGGCAAATAACAGACACTTGTTCTTTGACAAAAAAATGTGAGCACAATAGCAACTGCTTGGGTGAAATTATCTAACGTTTACTACATATCATCTGATGGCTAAATGTCTGATTTTCCTGAAGGAAGTAGATTCAATTTTGTGCACAATAGACACTTCAAAGAGCAAGATGAGCACCCAAATTTCCTGTTCTGTGATGACAGTTCAAAAAGAAATAAATTGAAAAAAATTAAGTATTTGTTGAAGAAACACAGGAAGTTACCAGCTGAGCTTTTGTGTTTGGATAAGGCAGAAACACAGTTGACATGAACTTGTACGGTTTTAAAGGAATCCATCTATGTTGCCATACAAATTGAAGACTTGAGTTAGTTTCATAGCATGGTCATAAATGTTTACAAAGACGTAGAGCAGCATTGCAAACAATATGTGACTTAAATGCTGCTTAAAAACAAATTAACCGCATGGGGGTGCACAGTTTAGTGAAATCTTTTATGAAGTAAATGGACACCAATTGCTTCAGAAGTTACAAAAAAAACACTCAGTATATTTTCAGGCATGGAAAACAGAACATTTCTACAAACTTTTACAGTTGAATTAGAAGAAGATGACATTTAACAAATCCCTACTTAATGTAGCAAGAGGGTCAAGCTTGTAGCAACAGAATTATGTCAAAATGATCAAACGTAATGTGCCTAGCAATATGTTGCTGACAGACAGTTAGATTTTATCATGCATTCAGCCATATTAAAATTGTATGTACTGCAGGTATTTAAATTTAGTTCATTCTGCTTCAGAATATATCCTCATATTTTAACTTCCTTACATGCTTTCCAGATAAAGACAACAGGTTTCTAAGGAATGGAGCAGCTGACCCCTGTAAACGTGCCTGAACATGTTTTTGTATCTGTCGGTGCCTGTCTTTCAAACACATCTATGAGTCATTGACGGCAGATCTATTGCTCAAGCATGAGTAAGCACAAACAAAAGAAGGAACAGTTTTTCTGGTACAAGATCAGCTCTCGAGTCATGTGGGGTGATGTGGAATAATCCAATCCCAAGCTTGCCTCAAAATTGAATAATCTTGTGCAGTGAACCAGAGAACCAATGATACAATTGAGGGCCAAAACATTTTACACTCTCTGCTGTACTAAAATTATATACTCCAAATTTTGTCGCTTGTGAGTAATTAGGTTCGTAAAATGCCTAAAGCAGAAATTCTTTCTGGAAACCACAAAAGCCTTTGAATAGTTGTCACGCTCTATATATTTGCCCATCATTTCAGTCGTTGAGGGATATGCTAATACTAATGTCAACCCCAACAATCAAAATATTGCAAGATTTGTGTCAAAGCAGTGTTTACCCATGGAAAAAAAAACATAGCTAATCAAAAATCCTGCAAATTTCACCCCTCAAGTAAACCATTTCCAGGTTAACAAGCTTTACTCCACCAGTGCTTGTCAACAATTCAACCGCAAAAATAGAACACAAAATGTGCGGCACATGACCGCAGTGGGTTGTAAACCTTATATTGATTTCACACCAAGTTCAAATTTCACAAGATTCTGACAACACCCCCAAAAAGCTACAAGAAAAAAACATGGAAGGATGCAACCTAAATTACGCTGTTTTATGTCCTTCAAAAGTGAAAGCACCAAACAGCAAATCTTTTGTTTCTAAGAATATATAATAGCATTGTAAAAATACTTTTTCACCTTCGCTGGTACACGCCGGCTTTACGCTTATAGGTGCTAAAATATAACATTTCACGACTTTGGATGTTTTTCTTTCAAGTTTGTTTACGTTATAGTCTTTGCACAACGAGACTCAGGGAGGTTGTTTCGCAAGATTGATGAATCATTACAGAAAGCAACTTGGAGCGAAACTGTCCCATATGATGCAAGGCGAATTTCGCGCCAACAGGAATAAAGCGTGAGATTCGAACCTTTGTGCATCATCTCCGAAAGTTTAGTTACAGCAAGGGAATACGTAATTACTTTAGCTTTAAATTTTCTTTAAAATCAGTAGGAAGTGCATTCTGGCTCTGCAAAAAACACTGACCTTTCGCCTGAATGTATAAAGTCCAGCAGAAAGCGAACACATCGCCAACGGAACAAGGTTGTTTTCTGTGGGGCATAAAAGAATTGAGATCGGTGAATAAGCCACGAGTTATTACTCATTTGAATATCACATGTTTACAGCTGAGATCTCAACAAAGCTGATTAAATCACAGAAAAATAACACAGTAATAAAAACTACGAAACGAACAACGCTTGAAAAATTTCAGTGCTACAGCGCGAACCCGAGTGGGCTTCCATTCTGAAAAGCCAAATCGTCACGTTATTGTTTATACATCGTCGTGAGAACCACACAAGGAAATTTAGTTTTTACCTCGATTTACGGCCTCTTTGAGTCTTTGTGTTTTCCTCCCGAGGATCTTTAAAGATTTCCAGAAAAATTGGCTCGTACTTCTTGAAAATAACGGTAGACACATGAAAGTTCCTTTCCAATAGCTCGATTTTCTTCCTGAAGTCTCCCGCGGCATTCGACATGTCCAACCATTTCTTCATTTTACTGAAAAACTGAATGAGGCTGCAGACAAAGGAAAATCGAAAATATTACGGGTAAGGCAGTGAGCAAAGAAACTGAAATGGTACAAGATGACAAAAAGAACGAAGAAAGCTTACCTCAATTTCGCCGCTCTCAACAACCGCGTCAATGAGACACAATTTCCTTCGACTGTTCCTGAACTGTCGACCGTTGGAACAACGCTCTTGCGGCAGGCGACGTATAAAGCACATGCCAGCCAATGTAAACTGTCTCCCTGAAAGAAAAAGTGCTTGGTAATTTTCAGCCGATCGCAAAACCAACTCGCTTACAGGCCCAGATAGGAGCATTGGTCAAAGGAATATTTACACGTAAGATTCGAAGCAAACATGTAACGAACACAGACGCACACAAACAAAAGGTACCTCTAAAGTGTAATTCGTGCTTATTTTTTGATACGAAGACCATGCTTCTTGACTAGTCTCTTCGTCCATATTAAGATCACGACAGAGATTATCAAATCGCTCCGAGCTGTTCGCCTCTTCATCGTCGCTAGAACTCGCCATTTTGACTTGTGTTCCACAACCAAACTGTAAACGCAAGCACAAAACCGAAATGGCGGGAAAATGTGACGAGCGCCAAATATAGCAAGGCGACGACTGATGTTCGCATGACGACAGCGCGTCAGCTGTCAATAACAATACGAATTGTAATGATCTCATCCTTATTTGGTAGTAATTTCCCGCCCTTTTTAAAGAGCGAACGGGCTTCAGCTGTGTGTTGTCGTTGTAAACCCTGAAGTTTTCTCCAAGAACAACTGTTTGCCTTGACATTGGATATTTTGCATCGTGTTCGCTACTCTTTGTCTAAACGGAGAACTTCGATTTCTCAGAAAGTTCTTTTGTCCATACATGTCCACCTCGCCTGCCAGATGTGCGTCTTTCGAGCTCCCAAGGGGATTTCGCTAAGTAACTTTGATCTCGCACGGTCCGCACGCGCCAGAACGACACGATACGAACAGGTTTCATTTCAGGAAATGTGGTCTGCGAGCAAGCTGCCGCAGGTTACAGGAAATGCAAAATTTAAGATCTTCCTTCTGCAAATATATATTCTTTTTCTCGCCATTTACTCTGGGAAAAAAACCCCAAAGAGTGAAATACATCGTATTATATTTCAAAGCGGATCGATCTTCTTGATGTAATGATGGACGGGTTGGTATAAGCTCATCGAGGAGGTTGAAAAACATTCAGATAAAATAGCCAAAATATAGGATTTATGAGTTAAACAAACAAAGAAAATAGAAATGTGTGTTAGAGGATTCTTGTTCACCGAAGAACTGTTCGTTTCGCTTGGTTCAGTTCTTTCTTAAATTACTCGCTAATGAAGTTATGGACGTGATTATTCGGCTTTTGTTTTTTTCATGGTCCAGATTTTAAACATTCATAAGCCATTCAACATAATGCAATTGCATTAATATTTGCCTGCTTTTGTCACTTTCTCTGCGTCGGAACGTCTGAATCAAGCCCAGCTGATTAAAATTTTCTTTCGAGGATTCAGTAAGCTAGGAGAAAAACAAGCAAGTAGATGGCAAGACAGGTTAGACTGTTCACAGTCCTCTGTTTTCTCATATTTTTATTCGATCATTGAACGCGCGGATAGCGTGCGTAAATAGACAGGCTGTGAACAGTCTAGGACAGGTAAGAAAAATAAATAATATTGAAATGAGGACGTGGATTTCAATGAAGTAGCTAGAGCACGAATCTACTTTCGAATAAAAATTACTGTACTGTGAATTCCCGCCAATATTTCTCACTTCTCGCGAAATCGCCTGAAGATTCTGGAATTGTAACATTCCATTATATTGTTTGTGCAGACTTCAATGTTTGTGTCAAGCTGTGATGTTTAGCAAACAATCTACAAATCTCGGCTAAAAAGTCTGGAAAACTTAAAGTAAACATCGGATTAATACTTAAACAAACTTGTTCAATTCGACACACCTGGGCGTAGCTATACCTGATAAAATCTCTTTCTGCGGTTTCGGACAACAAACCCCCTGAATAAAATCTGGAGGTACTCCCGGAATAGCTGACTCTGGAGGTATTCTTTTTTCTTTCTTTTTTTTTTTCTTCCACATATTTACACCATTTTCGAACAAAACTATATAATTTATGTTACATACATGTATATGATTACTGTTTATACATAAATATAATAATACATACTACATAGCTGACTCTGGAGGTACTCCAAAAAAATTGGGTGGGGGTGTGCGTCTAGCTTCTTGAATTCTTTACTCTGCCATACCAAACTCATACCAAACTTACCCAATTTAAGACCAGAACGTAAAAACTATACCGAAACGGCTAAAATCTATATCTTATTTCAGACCAAAATGATCCAAAAACTATACCCCTATGACACCCATATAAGAGAACACACACACCCCCTTCCTCGCAAGGAGAGAAAATAAACGCGCACAATAAAGGCGTTTTGAACAAAACTAGACTTTATAGTTACCGTTGTAATCAAATGTTTTTCACGGGTCTGTTCTCACTCGCACTAAGAAATGAAATGAACACGATGAAGTGACCCTCAACGACTGTCATTAGAATTAGCCAATGAATAGTGATTGTATGATGTCAGGTACATGTAGTAGATCACCTGATCGTATATAATATAAGCGTCAAGTTGAACCGCTTCCTAGAATAAGGGTAAGTAAAAGTGATGGCTCTCTCGAGCGCGTCGATCATGGAGAAGAACTCCTATTCTCGAGCTTTATCACCCTTGGTTTCAATTTCTATCCTCTTCGGACCTGGAGAAAGGCTCTATTCAAAGGTACACTCTTGGCTCGGTGGATTCATTTTCGCGTTTCTGCTCGTCGCCATGACATTTGTAGCGATTATTGGAGTTTTTGTTCGAACCACAATAGACACGTGGATACAGTTTTCGCTTTACATTGTTCCGCTTATTGCCTTGATTTCGGGATGTCGTGTGTACACGTCCTCAGCATTCAACAAGATGTTGAAAAGAAGGCTGTTAAGGAAGTCTATGGTGGAAGGTTTTGTCGAGTCTGATCAGGAAATTCCGTGGCACGAAACACAAAGGAACTCTTGGCTGAGGAAAGCTGCGTTTAAAAACTGCATCTATCCATTGATTTTAGAGATTTACCAGTGGACCGCATATGTGATTTTCCACACCGTATTTCAAGGGGACAAATTTGCTGGTTCTTGGGTGGAAAGTCATACAGAAGTGCTCGAAATCGACTCCCTGACATGGCTCGTGCTTTACTGTTTCTTTTGGGTGATGGCAATGTACATTACAGGATATGTCGCCTACTCTTTTATTTTGATAAGCCGATTAACCGTTCGAGATGTCATCAGTTTCATGTGCATGTTCGGAGACAGTCCATTTCTGCTGTACAGGCCCTCAGAAAAACCAAACCCTGTCTTGCAAAGCCTTAGTCCACTAAGAAGATTAATAAATGGCATAACTGGGTTTCTTTTTATGGATTTCTTTCAGACTGGCAAGGACCTTGTTCTTGTTTATGAAAAAGAAGCCCCAGTTTTAGATGAAATCGTGGTGACGTCAGATCAGAGTAGCATCGAAGGAGCTCATTGGGGTGCACAGGAATCCCAAGACTTTGATAACTTTACTGTGTCAGTTGATGTCACGAGACCAACACAGGGGAGGATACATGTGCCAAACCGACCAAGAATAAAGCCAGCTGATGCCAGCAAATATCTTTCCAGTGTGATAGGAAGCATCGAAGCCCTCGCAGGTCTTTTCCAGCCATTCATTGTTCTGCTAGCGTTTTTCTCAGTGGCTAACCTTGTTACCCATGTGGGGGCTATTGTTAGTCTTGTTAAAAATTTCAAGTCTTCTCATTGGTGGACCTTTGTCAGGACATGCATTTGGTTTCTACTGTCACTCCGCCTCCTCTGGAGTGCAGCAGGTATCACTAAAGCCTTGTCGCATGTATCACAACATCTCAATTACTTGTGGTCTGTTGGTCAGTTACACGGCAACGAAGAAGAATGGCAGAGGTTTTTCAAGCTGGTGGAGTCATTCCATCTGGGCACGAAGACGTATGGCTTTCCTCTCACACTGAAACAAGCTGCGTCCATTGCAACTTTTATTAACTTTGCACTGATCATAGTGCTGTCTGTCATGAAACCATCTGTGCACCTCCCAGTAAATGGTGAATGACACCCTCTAAGGGGTGGAACATTTGATTTTTGAGGGGCTGTATGGGTGATTTGGTATAGGCATGAATTTTTTTAAACCCTTTCATGCAGGGGTTTCATTGACATTTTCAGCAAGAGGGCAGCTGATTTTCACAGCCAGGCAAAACTATTTGAATTGAACTTCTAATAAAATAAAAACTTTCCTCTAGATGGTCAAACCAGGTGGGCAAAATCATCCTCACAACCAGTCAATTTGGCCGGTGCCTGGCCCTGCTTTCATGCACTCCATGTAACATACTTTTTTTCAGCTCTCTGAATGTGTGTGAAATTTTTTTCCCAGTGGTCATGTGGATGCATTTTTTTTGGTACAAGTATGCTTGCAGGATATTTTTTGAACATCACCCACCCACCCTCCCTCAAATGTCAAATGGCCTACCCCTAACACCAAGTTTTCAGATTTCATCTTAAACTGGAGAACAGCTGGTCGAGGGGATCATTGGAGACAGTGAGGGTTAGGTGACATTTTAGGAGACAAAGCCTCCCTGCAATAGCCTTTATGCACTAGTCACACCTAAAAGAGAGAATTGTTCTAGCCCCAGTTGTCAAAGGTCATACAGCATGTCTGTTAGATAAATCACTATTTAACAATTAGACCCGTAGCCCTTGAGGGCGAAAGGTCTAATTGTTTTAGTATCATCCAACTAGTCGGACAGAAAAGGTAATAATAAAGTTAGCAAAAACAAGTTGAAAAAATATTTATTTGGGAATAAAACGAAAGAAAACGTCACGCTCGATGGCGCCAATTTTGCTACTCGATGACTATTACTAATAGTCCCCTAGTAGCGTAGCCAATCAAAATGCAGGATTTGCATTAGTCCACTAGTTGGGTGATACTAATCTGTGGATGAGCATTAACAAAACCAACAGTACTATGCTATGGACTGGATAGGGGTCTGGTTCACTCTGTAGATGGCATCCATTGTTTGAACAAATATCAGGATCTAAATGGTGCAAAGGAATAAGAGAGCTTTTACCATGATTTCTTTTGAATATTTTATTTTAAGGTTAGGGACAGAGCATAACCTTTGAACTGAACAAGGTATTCCATCTTTTTATTTTCGATAGTGGAGAGGGAATATTAATAAAATTTCATGACCTGTTCCCATTTTGGGAGTTCAATTAACCCATTGACTCCCGGAGCTTTTTGCCAAGAACACATTTTTTGGACATTTTGGAGATTTCCAGGCTGGATATGGGCCAAACTAGCTCCATTCTACTCAAAAAGGCATTTGCAACATGAAAGCGTGCCTTTCTTTCCACTAGCACCCCGTTTTACGACATTTTTGCCTGGGTATGCGGAGAAATCAAACTTCTGAGATAGTTTTTTTGGACAAGAAAGTGACCTACATCTTTAGGCTTTTCAATTTTTTAAATTTTTTTTTGCCTTTCCTTTTTCTCCTTTTCTTTTCTTTTTGGTGCAGTGATTGACCTTCTACTGGGCTTGCTTCCAATTCAAAACTTTCTGAGGAAGCATCATTGAGACAGGCAATTTTTACCATGGAGTAGCCACATGTAGTTGCTGGAAATTTTGTTCTGAGTTTTTCACTCAACTTTTTGAGCATTTTCGTGATCACTCTGATCTGGGTATCATTGGAAAGATCTTTTCCTCCTGCAGAAGCTGAGCATAGATCATGCCAATTTTGTTAAAGGTTATGACGTCAGAAGTGGAACAAAGGCCAAGGCTTGTCAAGGCTGGTTACGGGCGGCACAGGAGTCAATGGGTTAATAATATGATAACAAACATAAATTTTTATAAGATAAGATAAAGATAAGATAACAACTTTATTAACGTGTAGAGGTCGCTAGCATACAATGTATACTAATTGTGGAAACCTAACTATGATTACTTATCTAATAATGAATAATTATTGTAACATACTGAACAAAAATGCACATGGAAACCTAATATCCATCCTATAGATGCACAGTTAGCTTTTTATTATCACACTTCTGACAGGTACCCTCAGCAAGAATAACAGTTAATACTGTTAGGAACATCTGATAATGCCACATATTTTCCTGAGATAAAGAACATTAAAAAGAATTAATCAAAGTAAAAAGATCATTGTCAAAAAATTAAAAAAGATAGATTATTTAGCAAGAAGGCAACAGAGTGCTTAAATTATGTGTCTCCAGTTTCAGGTAACACAATAGATTCTTCTCTGATAAATATTTTTTAGTAAAATCTTCATTTGCATGCCTCAAGACTTCCAGATTTTGATTCTCCAAGTTTCCATGTGCATTTTTGTTCAGTATGTTACAATAATGATTATTTGTAGCATTAGAAAAACCAATCTATTCACTATCCAAAACCAATTCTTTTCTACAGCAGATCTTTCTTGAGGTGACTAGATTGTCTTAGGTGCCTGTCCTCATTTTAGTTAATGTTGCACTGTATAAAATATCACATTGCTAAAAACTTTCAACAAAAATTAATTTGTTACACAGCGTGTGACATTTCCAAAAGGACCTGGCCTTTCATTGACAATACACCTGACCCACACATTATAATGTGTGTTCCTTGCAAGATTTTCTTTAAATATATAGTCCGTTATATCAAGTATATAAGCCACATAGTCATCCTGTCCAGCCTGCTGAATCCACACTTCATATTTTACATCTTCAGTTTCAAAAAAGGGTACATTTATGGGTGGTTTCCATGACAACCACAAGGTTGACTGTGTGCCCTCTGCAGGAGGTTGACATGTTACATGGACAACTTTACTTGGGTAAAGTTTATAGTCATGAGCAGGAACTTGTCTTGAAGATAATTTTTTCTGCTTATTTTCTGTCGATTCTATGACTGATAAGAGTGACTGAATGTCAACAACAGTATCTTGGTAAATTCTAAAAAGCCAGTAAGGGTTGCTGCAACATAAATGGCTTGGTACCTCTTTTGCGTTCATGATCTCCTCTTGCTCCTCTTCACTAAGATGATCAATTCCTCCAACATCTGGTGCCTCGTGAGGATAAGTAACAGTGTTTTCTTCAATTTCATTTCTCCAAGAGGCATAGACAACATTCATCCCAGGTAATTCCACCAGAGTGCGATAAGGAGTGTAATTATCTGGGTTAATACCAAATGGGAACAGTTCAATGAGCTTCGCTCCAGGTGGAAGAAACATTGCCAGGATCAACATGGAGCCATGCATTCCAATCAGTGCGCTAGCATTGCTTACAAGCTGGATCTGCTCTTTTAAAGAGTGTGTTGCCATGCTGACTCGAATGACTTGTTTTTTGAACTGTCTGGCAATCATCATTGACAAATCTAGTTCATTTATTATCAAACGATTATGTTCTCTTGAACACAGGACAATATAAGAAGAATCAGATCTATGGAATAATACATGTTTTAGCCCCAACCTACTTTTGATAAACTTTGTAAAATGTTGCATGTATCCACCAGTTAACGAAATATGAGGAAGTGGCCCTTGTGGCTGTCTGAAGCCATATTGATACCATGTGGTAAACTTTGATATGCCAATAACTCCATGTTGAAAACAGATCAGGTTTTTTGCCTTCCGGAGATCTTTCCTGAGGAGCAACTCCTTGTTAGTAAGTAACTTGTAAAGATCAAAGTAAGCACCTTCATTCCATCCCTCCATCAAAACTATTCTGTATTCAAGATCAATGGGGAACTTACACTGTGAGAACTGCCTCATCGTGTGGTACAAAGGTAACAGATCGTCATGAATAATGTGCATAATATTTTCTGCATTAAATCTATGAAATATAAAGCTAAAGTCGTCGAATATCGAAATATTGGAAAAGCTTTCCAAAGCTTTCACTGGGTAGTCAATATAGTTGAAGTACTGAGCATTATGATCTTCAACTGAAGACATGTCCAAAAGTGCTGGATCGAAGCGATTGACGGGGACGCCATCAAGTACTGTTTCTGGGCCATGAAAAAACAAGTACTCATCTTGAACTGGGTGGTAACAAAGATAACGAAATTTGCAGATACGGGCTGATTTGTTATGACCCGTGCACCAGATGCTGGAGCCCTCCCTCAAGGATTCCAAGACATTTGCATATGGTTTTGTTTGTGTTCTGTTGATTGATTTTCTTTCCGCGATTGGAGTTCCTAGCCATCTGCACGTCCAATTAAAAGCCAAATACAACAAAAGGCCTATTGAAAAGTGAAATAACGCTGATGAAAACATGAAAAGTTTCGTCGAAAACGAACAGCGCAAAGAATGACCAGGCGACACTCGTTTCCAGAGCCGAATGAGAGATATGAGAAGTCTGGTATTTTGCACTTTTTGCGGGGGAGGGGCTAGAGAAATTTCCGCTCAGACTTAAAAAGTGGCTGAGTCAGCAGGTCAGCAAAAATTTACCGATTGGACTTTCCCTTTTTCTGGGAAAAGAAACAGAAAATCTTGCTGTGGTTTATTTCTGCCTAATTTCAAAACCCCAGCTGAAGAACTAACGAATGGCATGCTCACGCGCGAAGGCTAGGGGGCTCCCCAAGATCAGAGCGTGAGACCAATTGAGACCAACACCGCGGTAAAACGCACTGCGCATGAGTACAAATTTGAGCTTCCGGTAAATTACGCATTTCCGGTTACGTATTAAAATCCAATGTAAACAAGATAAAATCCCGTACCGCGAAGTTTGAAAACAAAAAGTAAGAGTTAGCAAAAGAAAGTAGGGGAAAGGTTTGTCTCRTTGAAAAGTTTATTTTTCATTTAAGTTTCAAGCGCTTGCACCCAGGGGTTTGGTGTTTGCACCAACAACAAAATATGAGAGAATTTCGGGCGCGTTCGCACTCGACAAGAGCAATTTTTTTTTACGTAGTTCTCCTTGTTGCGTTGGTTTGGTTGTGCGGTTCCTTCGCAGAAAAATGTGGGAAAGCCAACAAAAACAGCCGTAAATGTGCCGGCAAAAAATGTTTTCTGTCTGAAGATTTAACCAGAGCTGCCGAACTCAAGTGGGCTCAACAGTTTGCCGTGTTCACTGGGACGAAATACGGACGAGCAACAACAGATGT